GTTCAGTTAGATTACATTCTTTTTAAGTTAATTATGTAAAAGTTGATTCTTTCCTTTTTGTTTACATTCATATAGGGTTACATAAACTATTTATTTCTAATTGTTTCTATCAACCCTTGAGTAGAATCATTTAACAAGCCATTTTACTATTTTCATCACTACCCCCCAAGATAATCAATTTATCGGTAAAAAAAAAAAAAAAAAAGATTGAATTTGGGAAAAAAAAAAAAAAAAAAAAAATATCGATGTTCAAGTTCGTTGTTCGGAGTGTCGGAGTTATTCGTAATATGTTTATAAGTGAAAAAAAAAATGTCAGTTTAGGAAAGACCATGAAAATTTAAAGTTCAGCTTATTTGTATGGTGGTGGCGTCAAAATACCCCAAGCCACAACTTTCGTATCACTCGTTGATAAGAAGTTCCATGTTTGCTTTGAACGTTTCAAGTTATACAACGATAGTTAACTTCTATAAATAGTTTTCAAAAAAAACAGATGAACAGATGTAAAGGACGCGTTTCGTCATTTGATCAAATATTTTTTCATGTCACACTACCATTGATATTAATTGACTAATTAAGATAAGAAACCTTGCTATAATCGACAAAGAAATATCGTTATGACCCTTTATTTTTAAAAGGAGAACGGCCCGTGAAGTTTTCATCGTAACAAGTCCCATTTTTAATTTCTCGAAAACAAATATTTTTTTATTTTTATTTTTTATTTTTATTTTTATTTTTTTTTAACTCTTTTTAAAATTAAATTTTTTAATTTGTAATGTTTGTAATTCAAAAATGAGTTTGACAATTTGGGAATTGATAAATAATACGTAATGATTGGTCTCTGTTTTATTTATAATATAATATACATACAAATATATAAATTTATGTCATGTACTTTCCTTTTGTTCTCATTCCGGATGATATGAAGAAGGAAAAAAAAATCTTGTTTGATTCTACAAAAGGAACTTTTACTCAGGGTAACTTTAATCAAAGGAAGAAAAATACAATACATGACAAAAAGAAATACAATACATGACAAAAAGAAAAAACAGCGTTTTTTATTTGTGTCGAGAATCTTCAAATGCACATTCATTGGTGATTCATGTGTTAACCAATCAATTCGTTGGCAGAATCAAGTAGCCTGAAACTCGTTTCCTTGTTCTTCGATGGTCGGGATTACCATCCGTGATGAGGGGAAAACCTGGTAACTGATGCGCAAAGGTGATTTAATGTCATCCTACCAGTCCAATCGGGGAAAAGTTTGTCCAAATTGGTTACAAGATCGGCGACAAAAACAAGTGATCGGGGATTTTCATTCTCGATTCTCGGTAACAAGAAGAGTGGCTTTAGAACCGCACCATTTCAAAAGTAAATAATAATGCAATTCATTAGATTAAGTGGCGGCATATAATTATTAATTTTTTTTTATTTAAGGTGAGAGGTTCTCATCCGTTTGCACAACATGACTGTGGTTTGGCGGGAAAACCATACACTTTTTTTTTTTTTTTTTTATAAATTTATGAAAAATAGTAACAAATTAATTATTTTTCCGTTTAAATAACATCCAATAGAATTCGTACAATCAAACTTTATTACAAATTAATTATTCATTTCGGGAAGGAAGACAATGGAAAAAAAAGGTACAAGTTCATTCATATGACGTACTTCATTCATATTTAATTTGTTTTTTTGAAATTATCTAACCGCATCTAGGGTGATTGCAAATCGGAAGTTTCGGAGACTATGTATTATGAACGCGCGTTGCGTTTACGTAATTACGTATGCTCATTACGTTAGAGTATTACGGTCGGCATTCCTTATAATGATAAACTTTGAATGAAGTTTCGTAATTATGCACGGCGAATCCAAATCCACGCGTAAATCCCATGTTTATCATCAATCAACTTGACCGTTTGGGAAGAAATGAATGATTGCATTCTCACATACAAAGGACTCATTGAAAAATGTTTATTAATCGAATCTTCGTTTTTGATTCTATCTTGGAAACCCCCCCAAAAAAAAATCGGAAATAACTCCCCTTAATGTCTTTAATACCGTTTTACAACACACACAACGAACTGAAGCAACATTACAAAATAATACTTCTTTCATACATGTTTGATTATAGAAAAAGGCAACGCCTTGTACAATTCAAACTTGCATTTAATGATGATGTTTTTGAATCTTTGTTTATGTAATGTGACCTTGTTTTTAAAAAGAAAAAAATTTTTTTATTGTTTTTTATTGTTTACATGTTTATATATGTTTTTTTTTATTTCGGCCGAGGAACCTTTTCCTTAATCGTATAAAACTTGTTAAAAAAAAAAAATGTCTCTCTCTCATACGTTAAACGTTTCATAGAAATTCCAAGTATGATCAAACCGAGTCCCGAATTTACCAAAAAAAGATTAGTGGAAAAGGGATTCATGATCATTTAAGATAATTCGAGTAAAGTCGGCATTCATGGAAGGGCTCCTTCGAATTTTTTTTTTCCAATGAAAAGTTAGAGGTTCATTATATACATATATATGATTGCTGCGTTTTGGAGAAGTGAACGGATAAGCCGAAACCAATTAAAAATAATCATCGGAAAAAAAAAAAAAAAAAAAAAAATTAAGAAAAGTAAAGCCCAGAGATGATAAGCATTGTTGATTTATAATAAATATCATAGATCTTTTAAAATCGATTCTCACGCTTTGGGAAATTTCAAAAGAGAAAAAAAAAAAGACCGCTTCATTAATCATAATTAGTCATGAAATCTCGGTAAAATTTTACCCGATATCATAAACAATGTAGTCGGAGTTTAAAGTGCGTAAATATACATATTTTTTTTTAATCTTACTATAAATAGATTTAGATTCCTTCCACGGAAATCTTCCATGATGCACACGTGAATTTGATTGGTTTTATAATTTTGACAGGATTTTATTTTTAGTCATTTACTTTAAGCGTAGTGTAAATTAATTAATTTGGGAAATAAACTTGTCAACAAATGCATGTGTTACGATCGGTGAGCAATTTACCCGTTCGCTTACTTCGTTTAGGCAATTTTCATGAAAGTGGACCGCAGTATTCACATTTTTTTTTTTCCGCGAAAACATATCATCAATAATAATACAAAAGGAATCATTGTATTATATATTTTTCTATACCAAGAACGTCCCTAACTTTTTTAAGGTAGCGTAGGGAATTTTCTCAAGAGAAAGGTTTGTGACAACAAAGAAAGAAAAAAAAAATCTTTTTAAAGAATTATTACAAAAAGGTGAAGATTGACATTCATGAAGAACGTTTTCAAAACTGAAGGGGACCGCAGAAACATCAAAAGATTTCAATTAAGTGGCTAGAAACCAAAACAAACGAGCGGGAATATGTAGTAAATAATAACATTCGGGCTGACCCAAATTAATGTTTACCAGGTTACTCCCAATTAATCCCTTAATTTAGTATATTAATAATGACACATAATTAACTTTTTTCACTGTAAGAACTTATTCGAATTCGGATAATCCGTCAATGCAGCAATTAATGATAATTTTTCAGATGTTTATACGTGGTATTCCAATTCCTCTTTTGAAAACAAAGGAAAAGTCTGGTCGTGTTTCATCTCAAGAATTTCTTGGTAATAAGAGTTGCTGCGTATTTCAGGTAAAGTACCCCAGAGGATAATCGAGTAATACAGGATCCGGTGTTTAAACTGCGAATTATTTACCAATTATAGGCAAGTGAGATGAAATTCAAATAACAAATAAATTAACAATTGGATTCATAAATATATTCATTTTACGCTTTTTTTTAATGTTTTTGGAAATCAATGGTTTTTATTCCGTAATATAATGGTAAAATGTTTAAATATTGTTTATGCGTCAAAAAATATAAAATTAAAATTAAAAAAAAAAAAATTATGAACCGTCTAATAAGAACTTGCATGAAGGGGGTTTCGCTCTGATGATGACGTAAATGACACCATAATAAATTGTCAAATATTAAAAAGTATTCGTACCAATGAAATCATGAAATCCCGTCTCCCTTAATTTTTTTTTTTATTTTATTTTATTTTTTTAAGAACTGTATCATATTCACAATCTTTTGTTCATTAATAATAATAATCAAATCTGGTTAGATCGACGACTTGGCGGGTTAAGCGTCGAACGATAGACTCCCACTTTCTTTTTTTTTTTTTTTTTTTGAATTTACAGTTGCAGATCACAATTTAAAAGTTAACTTAATCTATTGATATATCTGATACATACGGGTAGATTTCCTTCATCACTGTAATTAAATTTTTAAATTAAAAAAAGAAACGCTAATCATATCATAATTATTTATATTAATTAATTAATTTTTTTTTTTTTTTTACATATTTAACCGGAGGCCAAGAAAAACTTATTGGTTAATTTTTTTTTTTTTTTTACATCATAGAGAATTAAAATTTGTTAATCATACAGTAAGTTCTTATTGTTTTTTTTTTTTTGAAAAAAAAAAATTTTTTTTTTTATATTTTTTTTTTTTTTTTAATTTTAATAAAGAAATTTTTGCATACTTATAAAGTCTAGTCGGTTATGATTATTTAAAGCCAAGCTAATTATATTTTTTTATAAAAGAATAATCGACTTTAAAAGGATCAAAATCTTATATATATTTTTTATGTACATACATAATGAAAGAAGGTATAAACGCGTACTTCAAATTATGATTGTGTAAAGATTTTTTTGTGAATCACAAAAAAAATAAAAAAAATTAAAGGAAAAAAATATTTACACAACAATCTAATGAAAAAAAAAAAAATTCTACATACATTGCATATTTTTATACATATATAACCTATTATGGTAAATAAAAAAAAAATAAAATTGTCCACGCCACGTCCACCAGAATAATAAAAAAATTATGGTATCCAGCTATTTTATATGAATAATATACTTTGAATACGAGAGAGACAGAGAGAGAAATAAAATGTATTTTTAGAAATATAATAATATACTTGTGTATATCTATATTAGAATCTAAACCAAATGAAATGCAAAAAATGACACACTCATTGCTTCTGCAAATGTTTTATATGGTTGTTCCTGTCGTCTCAGATCTTTATGCCAATTAACCATGAGTTTATGGTATGCCAATAAGCTTTCCTTGGGGTCATTCGGTACAGGCATGCTACCTGTGGGACGCTCGTTATTGTTTATGAGATAATTTATCAACGGAGAATTGTCTGTGCTACTCGAACTGATAAAATCACTTGGACTCTTCAAAGTTGATGAAGGGTTAAGCCCTTCTTGCGTATTATTATTATTATAAAGTCCATCGGTTGTGTTTAATAACATTGGATCAAGCGAAAGGGTTTGCAATGGCGAAATTGCTTGGTGATTGTCACCAAGGGGCCAGATGGTTTGTGAGAAATCCCAATGACTCATGTCCATAACTGGCGTTGGAGTTAGATTACTTAAACCAAGCTCGTTCGTTGGCTTCGAATGGTCGATGAATAGCGATTGTGGGAGTGGTTGCGGTTGTTGTTGTTGCTTTCTGTGTTGTCGACGTCTTTGCTTTGAGGGCCACATCTCCTTGTAACGTTTTTTCGCGGCTTCGGCGAGACGTTTGTATTCCGCCTTAACGTTTTCGGGTTCTTGCTTCCATGACTCGGATACCATTGGTGATATTTGGGTCATTTGAAGGTTAATTCCTCTCGAGTGAAGCTCTTTCACGTAAGCTTTACGATAGATAATAAATGCATTGGAAGATTTGCTTGGCTTATCACCGTTCGGTTTTGAGGTAACTAAATCGTCGATATTAATTGTCGGTGGGAAGGGGGGCTTGATAAGCATCATCGGAGGATCTTGAGCTATGTTGGGTGATGCCTCAACAGAGGAAGATGTCATGTTTCCGGATTCACTGTCTAAAGAACGAGGTGAATTTATAAGAGATACGTCAAAAGGAGACCCCTGTTCCATGAAGATACTTTCGTCGTATGAATCAAAAGAATTAATTGTCGATGGGTAATAGTACAAGTAAGAGGTATGCATTTGTAAGAGGAGTTGAAAAAAAAAAAGCAAGGAAAAAGTAATTAATGAAGATTTTTTTTTTTTTTTTAAGTTTAAATTGATTTGCTTGCTCCCAATCCACTTGTAAAGATGTAAGCTACTATTTATATTTTAATTTTCTCTGTCTAGTCATGTGATTATTAGATTTTTTAAAAATAAGTAAAAATTTTTACTTTACGAATAATAAATTACAAAAGAAAAGAAAAGGTTTTTTTTGATTGTCCATACCACTATAAATAATAAAATTTAATTTAATTAAATATATACATACATTATAAAATATAGTAGTCATTGTATAAATAATATTTATATGAATTAAAATAAGATCGGCGGCCTGTTGATCCTCACCAAAAAAAAGCATCATAAAAAAAATTTTTTTTTTTATATTGACCTGGCCCTTGGAATGGTAACATTAAGTGTGGCTAGTTTTGCAGTTGTATAATGGCGATCGGTTGGCCCAAATCAAAAAGTAGAGAAATTTTTTTTTTTTGATGTTCCCTCCTTAACTAAACCCTTTCTAACCTAGTTGGTGATAATCAAAGGGAATAGGTGATATGACCCATGTCGTCAGGATGGGATTGTCTGGATATACGACGAAGAGTGGCGAGGCTCACCAGACGGATTAAAACATTATTTGTTTATTTGCTTGTTATCTTCTTTCGTTAACCGTTACTTTTACCGTTACCTGGTAATATCACTTTGAAATCACTCATTTTATTATCATTTATGCATTAATTTAATCTATCATTGTTTAAAACTTCAAATAGATAAACAACCTTCTTTTAAAAATCACTTGTGATAAGTTTATAGGAGAATTACGATTTAAATTTTGTTGCATGTATTCTGAGGCGAAGGGTTCAATATAATCGTGGTACCTAAATTCGTTAAATGAGGCAAACCACCTATTATATTATTAGGTTCATGTAATAAGAACATTTAGGATGAAGGGAATAAAAAAAAAACAATGGATTGGCCAAAGATCGACGGCCCAAACGGATTGTATCACACTTATTCATCAAAAAATAAAAATAAATCATTTCTCTCTTTGTCTTCTTTTTTTTAATATTCAAGCCTTTAAAAGGAAACCACTTCTCAATTTCTCATGCAACTACCCATTTCCCTGGAATTCACATTTATTAAATTTCTAATAATAGACCACCGATAAATGATTCATATGTTTGATTATTAGAAACTGTTGGTCATAAAAAGTCAAAATAGGCGTAACATGTAAAAATGCACGCCGATTCAGGTTTAAAGAAAAGGGATAAAAATTTTCATTAGATGTTAATTAATCTACAATCGATCACATTATTATAATGTTAAAAAAAAAAAAAAATAAAAAAAAAATTGATTTTAGAAATGCGAAGAAAAAAAAAATCGTTCCTGAATTCTCGGGAGGGCGTTAAAAAAGATGACAAATGATTAACGAGACTTCTTTATGTGATTTTAATTTTTTTTTTTTTTCTCATGTACAAGATAATTAGAAATCTTTTGTCAAGTTACGAATTTAGAAATTATAATTAACTAATTTGGACACATTGTCCTGTTGAAATAAAAAACTTTTTTATTTGTAATTACAAGATTATTAATTGACTTTCTCGTAATGAATCTATTTATAATGTTAACGCCTGTGTGCCAAACATGTCTCGTTGCATTTACCTTTTGTTTCAAAGAAAATGAACGAAACAATTTATGAATCAGAACAAAAAAACCCAAGTTTTAGTTGCACACGCTAAACATTGTAATCATTGTAAGTCACACTCGATAGGTTACTATCCTGCGAAGGAAATCATCCCTTTGCAATGGATGATAAACGTTATAGATTAATGAAAATTTCTTGCCTTTTTTTGCATTGAAGTTATTGGAAACCAACCGTCTAAAACTATTAAAATTATTGTACAATGTGACGAGACGCGTATAATCTCAATTAAGTTGTCCTTTGTACTCTTGCTTTAGTATTCGTGAGATCCCCCTTAATGCGTAAAATACGTTTGATAAGAGTTCAGACATTGACAAACCAATAATTATACGCGTAAATACATGGAACATTCTATTGTTTTTTTTTTAAATTATTTGTTATTTGTAGATAATCATTTTAATCTTTTCTTTAAAGCAAATAAAGCAAATCTTCGTCAACCCTTACGAGAAAATATCTCCCCTTACTTCCAAAAAAATACATTTCATACATCAAATGATGCCACCATCTTTTTTCAGGGACAACCTTGGAGGTAAGTTCATATTAACCTCTTTATCATTTCCTTTTTTTCTTTCATATTATTACTAAAATAGTAAAAGAATTTTAATCTTTCATACCACAAATGACTTCCTCATTCTTTTATTATGTAAAGCTTACCTAAAAGTTTTCATTCAATCAATCGTTGCAATCCTTCGGCTCCGCAGCAATCTTATATAATAACATTATCTTTTGCCAAATCCAATTGTTTGTTTGTAGATTTATATAGTGTGTGCCACGTTTCTAGAATGATTATGGCTTAGACTTGTCACATTGCTATAATTTCTATTTATAGTTGAAATCGCTTATCCTGCGTATACCGAACAACGGGGTCGTAAGCAAAGCATGGCCGCAACTCGGTTCGGGTTAATAAATTGAGCGCCTATTTACCGGGATTTGGTAGAATTTGCTAGAATTTCTGATAGATTGACATAACCATGTTTAACTTTGGTAATTATTTGTTGCGTTCTATAAACCGAACAATTTGGGAAATAATCTTCGCACAAATCTTAAAGTCTGCAAAGAAATTCCTTTTATCGAATGAATAAGAAAGAAATTTTTTTAAAGAGACAAAGGTGATCCGACTTGAATTTATAAAATATGAATGCGCAATTGAACAATCCTAAAATAATAAAAGGTACAACACTTCTTTCCTCGAAACGTTTTTATTTTCTTTCGCTGCGCTACGAATTGCGCGCCACAACAGGTTTTTTTACCCTCGCCACACTTTCGCCACATCATCTGATATATTTGCTGTGCGTGGTGCAACCCTTACACGGTGTACACTATTTAATAATGAAAACTTTAACAATACATTCCCTTTCCAAAAAAAAAAAAAAATTCTAAAATAGGCTTTGTTACTAGCTCAATTCAAAGTTTTAAATTTTCGTGAACGGTCTCAATGATTGGTGTTCGGTACAAGCCGGGTCATTAATTCCGTACCGTTTAAACATTTGTGAATTGGTAATGTTTGAGTACTTGATAAAATAAGATGGATAAAGAAAAACTTGTTACTGCGCAAACAGCCATGTGGTTTAACCGTGCATGGTAAATCCAAAGTACACATATTTCCGTATGGGTTAATGATAGTTAGTAATGATGCCATTGATGACATCCTTTTGCAGATCGAAACAATAATTCTAAATGGGAAAATAGTAATTACATGATGACTACTTTCCGCGGAAGCATTGCTCTTTGGATGACGAAATATGGACGATAGTCTTGGATGGCGCAGTAGATACTTCCTAATTTGTTCTCATTGTTACCAGGAGATGGGTTTCTCAGAGAAAAGTTGACTCTCGATATGTTGTTTCATAAACAAGATGTAAGTCTAGTACATACATTTTTCTTGGAATTCCAAGCATTTTTTAGTACATTTTATCCGACGGTAAGAATTTAACCGAAAAACCTCCATTTGTTTAGGCTAACCGGATCTCGGCGACTTATTTCCAAAAAAGGGGAACTTCCATTAAGTCAATCGATAACCTTTTATCCATTAGCTTTTGCTTCGCCAATTGGACAATCAACCCTTTGTCGAAAAAGAAAAAAAAAGAAAGAAATGTACTTATTCGATTTGAACCTTCATGACGGATTCTTTAATTAATTAATGTTTTTCTATTTTTAGAGAATGCGTAGGAATTATGTAATGCGTATTTAGTTGCTGTGCATATGAATTGCTTGAGTTTGATGAGTGGGAAAATTAATGAATTTGCTTCGCATCATATTGTTTTTCTTTTGGGCAGTTTTTTTTTAAATGATGGTCTTCCGCAAAAAAGCATGACAAATACACAATCTTACTGCGCATGATGAAACCAGCCACAGCGTCACAGGTCACGTTCATTTTGCCGATCAATTCAATTCATAAACGCGTAAAAACGTGATTTGCTTAAACATTTTCCAATTTTTGAATACTGTTCATTTACCATGTCAAAAGTTTTCGTGAGATATATCTTCTTTCTTTTTCAAATTGAACACAAGCAAATAAATGACACCTCTTCTTATTATTCCTGATCGTGAGTAAATCTACTGCGTCTGTTAACCGTAAATTTATTATTTCATGCCTTTTATGAATGATAATAATTCGTCACAATGTGATAAATAAAAAACGTGATGATTGTAGGAGTTTTTTTTTTAATGATCGATCTATAACATATCTTATTATATCACTTTTTAAGGAATATGTGCATAACGTTTGTAATTACTGTTTCTTAAACAACGCGCTTACGAATACAGATATGCAATAATGGTAGATTAAATTCTTCCCTTGAAATATTTGGCAGAATTATTTGGTTCCCCAACAATATAAATCTATCTATTGTTAACACAAAAACAAAAAAAAAAAAAAAAAAATAGCGTGAAAAAAAAGAGAAACAAAGAAAATATTTGTTTATGCGAATGATTACTTGATAAGTATAATTTATTCGCTCCGATCGATACCGCATACGTTTCTTTTAACCATATAAGTCTTTTGCTTTTAACGCGGTATTCACATTCGAGGTCTAGAACCAATTAGACGTTTCATCAATTGAACCAAATTAAATTTGGTCTAATTGTCTTTTTTGTAATCGAGTTATGTTTTGCGTACAAGGGGATTGTGCAAGACCATTCGATATGAAACAGATCACAAAGAAAAATTTTCATATGCCTTACTTCAGCAATTCATTTGATTTAACCATTA